TTAAACTAACTAGCTACAAATAATATAAATTAAACAATGAACTGCACACATGCATATTTTATCAATGACACACATGCATGAAAGGTTCAAGTTGCTAACCGCGATCGAGGAGGAAAAAATAAATGAGGAACCTCAAGTGTGGCTCCAACACTTCATATCATGTTTGTTTCACCCTCTTAGGGCATTTCATCAAACACCTTGTGTGCATAAGAGGAACCAAAAGCAAACCTACACCCCCTTGTGAAGCTTGTGAAGAGAAGTGGCACCAAATGGCTAAGTGAGCGTGCTGAACTGGTATATATAGGGGAGGAGCTTTAGTCGCGGTTGGCCTGGCCAACCGCGACTAAAGGCCTTTGCGCACCTTTAGTCGCGGTTGGCCTGGCAAACCGCGACTAAAGCCCGCGAGCTTTAGTCGCGGTTGGCCAGGCCAACCGCGACTAAAGGCCGTTGGGCACCTTTAGTCGCGGTTGGCCTGGCCAACCGCGACTAAAGCCCGCGAGCGCCCTGGGCCCAGGCATTTGGTCGCGGTTCATCTGCCGAACCGCGACTGAAGACTTCATTAGTCGCGGTTCCTACAGTTTCGCGACTAATGAGGCTGGACGGAAGCCTCTTTTTCTACTAGTGCTTGTTGGGCGCGTGGCACGAAATAGCCGCGCCCACACGTATGGACAATTCTAATGTCCGCTCACACACAATTCGTGTGGGCCACCTCCTACTCACAGTACACACGGTGTGTGCACGCATGTCGAATATACCACACATGTGGCAGTTATCGTCGTCCTTTCGTTTTTCAACTGTTAGTCCATTTTTCTCTCCCGGAGCTCGTTTATCTTTCTTCCCACGGCATTGAACACTACTAGGAAAAGGGCTATAGATGAAATTGACACTAATGGTGCACCAGACATGTGATGCGCCAGTACTATATACTAATTGTGCACCATGTGTTGGAGCGCCATTAGTGTCCAAATACTAATGGCGCACCACATCCACGGTGCGCCATTAGTAACAAGATTTTTTTTAACTAGTAATGGCGCACCACATCGACGGTGCGCCATTAGTAATTTTTTTTCAAATTTTTGTTTCAATTTTTTCTATTTTTTTCAAAACTAGTAATAGCGCACCAGGTGATAGTGCGTAGTAATGGCGCACGACATCCACGATGCGCCACTAGTGATTTTTTTCAATTTTTTTTATATTTTTTGAAAACTAGTAATGGCGCACCGTGGGAGTGGTGCGTCATTACTAGTTCAACTAGTAATGGCGCACCACCCCCATGGTGCGCCATTACTAACTTGGCCCAAAAATTCCCTCGCATGCACCCCCCTCCCTCGGGACCGCCTTTTCAGTTTTTTAAAAAATAAAAGAAAAGGATGAAAATGTCAAAAAAATAAAAGAAAATAAGTTTCCCATGTGATATGTAGTCTAGTTGTTGGGAAAATTTACAAATATGAATTTCTACTTTATTTGCGAAATCTCTCTGAAATTTGTAAAATGGGCATAACTTTTTGCATACGAACTCGGATTAAAAAGTTTTCTATATGAAAAATCATCTACTCGAAAAATGCATGGTTGTCAATGGAATAACACCCTGTGGTACAAACAAGAAAGTGGAAGGGGTGTGTCTCCACCTGGCAACGCCCCAACTTTCTCTCAGGAGGCCCGCAATGGCGGGTCCCAATGACGGGCCCCAACCACTAGTACTAGACATAATGTGGGCTCTCTGCATGCACATACTGTTTTTTTTGCGGGGGATGCACACACTGCTTTTGTTGAAGTATGTAAGGATGAAGTGCATCTAAAAAGATGTATGGATGAAGTGCGGTTGCATTCAAACTTTCCAACCGTCTCACTCCCATGGAAAAGATACATTTTGAATTTCATAGTATTTCTTTTTAAGGATGAATATTTTTTGAACCATAAATCCGACTAGTGATATGTTTATATATTTGAATTCCTCATGACAAGACTTTAAAGCAAGATCAATATTGGATACATTTGGACCACTTTTAATTTTAGACCGATTTCAATTATCCCAGAAGATCGTTCCAAGTTTTTTTAAAGACCCATTTTAATAATTTCAAGAACACATTTCAATAATTTCTATTTTTGGCCAACAGCTTCCATGCAATTTTTCCGGTTCTTTTGTTGTTGTTGTTGTTGTTGTTGTTGTTGTTGTTGTTGTTGTTGTTGTTGTTGTTATATTTTTCGTTCTTTGTTTTCTTCCCCGACTTTTATTTTTAAATGGGATTAATTTTAAAAGTTTACTATTTCTTTTACCTTTTTTCAATTTTCTTTTTCCTGTTTTTTAACCATCTCACCTTTTAATTTCTTTTAACTGATAAAAAAACTAATGCATACTCCAAAGAGTACAAAACATTAGTCCTATATACATATATATCTAAGCTTTTCAAATGATACACAAATGTATTTGTCTAAAGCATGCTGGACATTTAAAAATTGAATAATTTTTTATTTCTAAGATGTAGATATTTTTTATATGCAGAAACATTTCTAAAATGTGTTAACAGATCATAAAAGATGTGGGCAACTTTGACACGCTATAACACTTTTTTAACTACATGAAGATTTTTCAAATGTGCTATTTTTTTGTAAGATCAAACACTTCTATAAATTTCATGAATATATCTTTTCCGTTTCACATTTTTTTTTAAAATGTGTGAATATTATTTTTACTATGTGATTTTTATATATGACAAGAAACTGAAATTACATAAACATTTAGTTAATCTTTATATCAAAAGTTAAATAAGAAAGAAAGACAAATAAAAAAGGGAAAGTAAAAGGAAAATATTACGGCCAATCAGTTCTAATGGGATCGCCCAATTTATAGGTTAGTGTGTTCCTTGTATTGGACACTATAAGCATCGGCCATGTATTGCTACAGAGCACAACGTCACCTGCAGTAGCCGCGCTCGCGGGGGAGGAGCACTGGCTGCCTAGCACATATAATTTTGGTTTTATTAGTTTTAGTTGTGTTTCTAAATTGGAAATGATTTTTTACTATAAAAAATGTTCAAGTTCCAAAAATGTAACTTAGTAGAAAACAATGTTTGCGCAATTTTTTAAAGAATTTATAGCATACAAAAATGTTCATGACAAATAAAAACTGCTCCGCATTCCAAAAAAATTACGACATTTTTTTATAATGTGTATACAATGTTACAGACATGTTTGTATAATAAAAAACAAGTTTCCGTATCATTCAAAAAAATTGTCATGTATTTAAAATATACTGTGTAAGTGACCCTTTTTGAAATAATATTCATTATAAAAAATGTTAGAATTGTTTCTAAAAATGCAAAATTCAGCATTTATTTCAAAAATGTTTAACATGTATTAAAAATTTCAAAATATGTCATTGGAAAAATATTAATCGTTTATTTGAGAAATGTTAACTTGTATTAAAAAAAATTAGGTGTATACAAAAATGTACACTGTGTATGAAAAAAGTATACTTCAAAAGATATATTTGGATAAATGTTAATAATGTAATTTATAATGTAAAACATGTATAGAAAACTGTTTTATATGTATAGACAAAATTTGCAAATATATGTGAGAAAAAATATGTCAAAATGTGTATTTAAAAAATGTTAATCATGTATTAAATGTCTAGAAAAATGTTCCCTATCTACACAAAATAATGTACAATATGCATGAAAAAACTAGACATCAAATGGTACATTTAGAAAATATGTTAATCATGTATTTGAAAAATATTAAAAGCATAAAAATATTCCTAATATATACGAAAATACTGTATTTTTCAAAAGAAATAAAAAGCACAGCGGTAGAAGTATGCTGCCTAGTGCGTAGTGTGCATCGTAGAAGTGCATTTATTGTGGATTTGGCACGGAGCACACCGGTAGGTGGCTGAGCCGCTAGGCTAGAGACGTGCACCCCAAAAAAGTCTCTCGCCGGTCCTCGTCCCCGTCGACAAAACAAGCAGGAAAGGCTCGCCAGCTGCTATAGATCTCATCTGACGGCATCGATCGATCACTTCACGGCCACACACCATGTCCGGCGGCACGGCACCGCGCGTCGTGGAGGACTTCCTCGGCGTCGTCCAGCTCCTCAGCGACGGCTCCGTCGTCCGCGGCGACGAAGCCGTCCTCCGGTCAAACGAGCCGTTACCGGACGTCCCCGGCGTGCAGTGGAAGGACGTCCTGTACCACGCCGCGCACGGCCTTAGTGTCCGCGTGTACAGGCCGGCGTCGTCGGTGGCCGGCGGCAGCAAGCTCCCCGTGCTGGTGTACTTCCACGGCGGGGGCTACTGCCTCGGCTCCTTCGCGGAGCCCAACTTCCACTCGTTCTGCCTCCGCGCCGCAGCCGAGATCCGGGCCGTCGTGCTGTCCGTGCAGTACCGCCTCGCCCCCGAGCACCGCCTCCCCGCGGCCATCGACGACGGCGCGGCTTTCCTGTCCTGGCTGCGCGGCCAGGCCGAGCTTGGCGCCGGCGCCGACCCGTGGCTCGCGGAGTTCGGCCGACTTCGCCCGGACGTTCCTCTCCGGCAACTCGGCGGGTGCCAACCTGGCCCACCACGTCACGGTCCGCGCAGCGTCGGGGCAGATCGCGGTCAGCCCGGCGCGCGTCGTCGGGTACATCCTCCTCTCCGCGTTCTTCGCCGGGGCCGAGCGCACGGCGACGGAGGCTGACCCGCCGGCGGGCGTGTCCCTGACGACCGCGATGGCCGACCAGCTCTGGCGCATGTCGCTGCCGGTGGGGGCTAGCTTGGACCACCCGCTGGCCAACCCGTTCGGCCCGAAGAGCCCGAGCCTCGCACCGGTGGAGCTCCCGGCGGCGCTCGTCGTGGCGCCGTTGAGCGACGTGCTCCGCGACCGCGTGCTGGGGTACGGGGCGAGGCTGAAGGACATGGGCAAGGCCGTCGAGGTTGTCCAGTTCGAGGGAGAGCAGCATGGATTCTCCGTCCGGCAGCCCTTCGGCGAGGCGGCCGACGAGTTGCTGCGGGTGATCAAGCGGTTCGTCTACAGCGGCAACTGAGCGGTGATGTGTTGCGATTTGACTGATGCTTGCTTGTTGCATGGGCATGGAAATCCAGTTACTGAACCTAGTGATGCATTTTGATGCCAGTTCTTAAAATATAAACGAGCAGAACCGCACTGGGAATCTGGGATTTGTTAGAGAATATTACTGTAATCCGTTGCGTTGTAATCCTAACCTTCTTCCTATTCCTTGTTCTACTCAAACTCCTTTCTTCTTATCTTGTACGCCAAGGCAAGGCTTCTGCCACACATCAATATATACGAGACGCGGCTCCCCTTAAAAGAGTAGGAACGCTTATTATCTTTCATGGTATCAGAGCCACCTCTTTTCATACATCTAGCCACAAATCAAAACCCTAGAACCGCATATTATCATCACCATGGCTTCTTCAGCAGGCGTCGTGTAACGCCCTCGATGCGGCTATATCTCCCACGTGTCGAAGCACGACTTAGAAGCATAACCGCATTGAAAGCAATGTCGCAAGTGAGGTAATCTTCACACAACTTAAGTAATACATAAGGGAAAGAGATACATAGCTGGCTTACAATCGTCACTTCACACAATTACATGACTAAAGCATTACATCATCCAGATACAATCAAGGTCCGACTACGGAACCAAAATAAAAGAAGAACCCCAAATGCGACAAAGGTCCCCGATCGACCCCAACTGGGCTCCACTACTGATCAACTAGAACGAAACAACACAAAGGGCAAGATCTTCATCGAGCTCCTCCTTGAGCTTGGTTGCGTCATCTGCACGGTAACATAGGCACCTGCAAACTGGTTTTGGAAGTATCTGTGAGCCACGGGGACTCAGCAATCTCGCACCTGCGAGATCAAGACTATTTAAGCTTATAGGAAGGATGGAGTAATGAGGTGGAGCTGCAGCAAGCGACTAGCATATATGGTGGCTACAATCGCAAAAGAGAGCGAGATGAGAAGGCAAAGCACGGTCGATAAAAGTATGATCAAGAAGTGATCCTATAGCAACCTACGTCAAGCATAACTCCAACACCGTGTTCACCTCCCGGACTCCGCCGGAAAGAGACCATCACGGTTACACACACGGTTGATGTATTTTAATTAAGGTCAACTTCGGGTTTTCTACAACCGGACGTTAACAAATTCCCATATGCCCATAACCGCGGGCACGACTTTCGAAAGATAATACCCTGCAGGGGTGTCCCAACTTAGCCCATCACAAGCTCTCACGGTCAACGAAGGAATAGACCTCCACCCGAGACGTTCCGATCAGACTCGGTATCCCGGTATAACAAGACATTTCGACAGGGTAAAACTAAACCAGCAACACCGCCCGAATGTGCCGACAAATCTCGATAGGAGCTGCACATATCTCTTTCTCAGGGCACACTCAGATGAGCAATCCGTACAACTAAAACCAAACCTCGAGTTTCCCCGAGGGGGCGCTGCA